CAGTCGCACAGACTGTGCGAACCACAGGGGTATTAGCCTACCGCCAGTTGTGACAAAATTACTGGCCTCGATTATCGTTCGTCGCCTCACTGCAGAACGGGAATCTCGGATTAGAGAAGAGCAGGCCGGTTTTCGCCCAGGACGTGGCTGTATAGACCATATATTTACTTTGCGGCAGGTGCTAGAGCAGCGCCACGTATACCGCAGACCGACAATAGCTGTGTTCCTCGATTTCAAGAGTGCGTTCGATTCAGTCGATCGATCGATTCTGTTTGAAATACTTGCGCGGAAAGGTGTTCCCACGAAATATGTGAACATCCTTCGTGCTCTATACTCGAACACTAGAGGCCGCGTCAGGGTCTATGGTGTCCTGTCAGATAGCTTTTCGACTATAAGTGGCGTTCGACAGGGTTGTCCGATTTCCCCATTTTTGTTCAATTTCGTCGTGGATTCTATCATGGAGTGTCCCCTTGCGGAATCTCACGATGTAGGTGTTGAAGTGCTGCCTGGTGAACGGTTAGTTGATCTAGATTATGCGGACGATATCGTCTTGCTTTTCGACAATGTTGAGGCGGCACAATCAACCCTGAATAGCCTATCCAGAGTGGTCCCATTATTTGGTATGCACTTCGCACCTTCAAGGTGCAAAGTGTTGCTGCAGGACCACCAGCCACTCGATGACCCCTTGACGCTTGCTAACGAGGAACTCGATGTGGTTTATCAATTCAATTATCTTGGCAGCTGCATCAGCAATGATGGGCGCATAGAAACTGACGTGAGCTCACGCATTGCAAAGGCCAGAGCTGCCTTCTTGAACCTGCGTCATCTTTGGCGACAGAAGGGAGTTTCCCTCCGTCTGAAAGGCCGTGTATACAAGGCCACAGTGAGGGCCGTTCTGCTCTATGGTAGTGAAACTTGGCCCCTTCGGTCTGAAGATCTGAGGCGCCTTCAAGTCTTTGTTTGCGAAGCATTGCTGGTGTCGGATGGCACCAGCGTGTCCGCAACGATGATGTGCGTAGGCGAGTACTAGGGGGTGATGATCATGCTAGCTCCCTAGAACAACAGATAGCACTGAATAAGTTGCGTTGGTTCGGGCACGTGCTACGCATGCCTGGTCACCGCTTACCTAGGAGGGCCTTGTTCAGTCTACCAGGTGTCGGATGGCGCAAGGCTCGAGGTGGACAGAAGTTGACTTGGCAGCGGGAAATGAAGTCACTGACGACCAAACTGGGTGCCGTTGGTCCGTCTCGCCTTCCGGGTTGGAGTCCACGTGACTCACCTTGTGCTTGGCTCGAGACTTTACAGGACATGGCTCGCAGTAGACATCAGTGGCGCGTCTGCTGCCGTCTCCTAATCGGATTGTCTGTTTAAAGTGTGTTTGGTGCTGAGTTATCTGCGGGGTAATGGCTGATTATGACGCGTGGCAGTGAAAGCCGCAAGGAAGCTGTCTCGCCGATGCCGCCTTATCTTTGCACGATAGCCAGCTGTTTGTGACGGTATGTTGTGAACACAAGGTGTAGGCGCCTTGACCCTGAATGTTTGCTTAGGGCATTAAGGTTTTCAGGTAAGTCCCCCTTCTCTCCCTCTTATTCTTTATTTCATAGGTCCTCATGGTTGTATGGCAGCGAAGCATCAGTTCAAATGGCTGATGTACTGCTGTTGATGATGATGATGATGATGAGACTAGAGTTCTCGCACCGAAACGACGGATGTTCAGCAACCCACCGTCAATACGGTGCTCCACACGAACCCCTTAAGCACAAGCCGCATCAAAAGCACAAGACAACATTGCATGAAGATATATATTAAACAGGGCAGGAGCTAAGACACAGTCTTGCTTCACACCAGAGACAACTGTAAAGTCATCCGAGGTCTCTCCACTCAGCTGCACCCTCGCTCGCATACCACTGTGCAGACATTCAATTAAACTTACAAACTTACGCGGGCAATTAAACTTACCCAACACCAGCCACAATGCCTCGAGGTTCACCGTATCAAATGCCTTAGTGAAATCAACAAAAAGCGAATACAATGGCTGGTGTCGTTCTCTGCACTTCTCTTGCAACTGACGAGCCGCAAACACCATATCTATAGTGCTGCGACCCGAACGGAATCCACATTGCTCTTCCGCCACGTTAGGTTCCACAACCTGACTGACGAGGCGATTGAGCAGGATTCGGGCAATCACCTTGCCCACACAACTCAGCAAGTTGATGCCACGATAATTCGTGCAACATTGCTTGCTACCTTTGCCCTTGTACAGTGGTAGCACAAGGGCATCCTTCAGCTCAGGAGGCACCTCCTCCTCAATCCACACGCGTTGCACCAAGTGCTGCAGCGCAGTCAACAACGCGGGTCCACCGTGTTTCAATATTTCAGGCGGGATCCCGTCGGCACCGGCACACTTGCCATTTCGCAACTGAGCAAGTGCTCTCTGCGTCTCATCCATTGTCGGCGTATCCGCCAGATCCGCCTTCACATCGTGCTGCTTCAGGCCATTCAATGTAGGCCAATCGATCTCTGAACGGTTGTTCAAGAGACAGTCAAAGTGTTTCCGTCAGATCTGCATTATGTCTGCAGTCTGGGTGCAGGTAGCGCCTGAACTACCATCGATCAGTGTCCTCAGCGGCTCCAATCTCGGTCCATACACCGCCTTCAAGGAGTCAAAGAATTCCTTGTGTTGACGGCGTTCGGCGTAGCATTCCATCTGCTTCGCCTTCTCCGTCCACCATGCATTTTTAATGCGACGGAGCTCTCGGGTCAGTCGCCGTCGAAGTTTGCGAAACTGACTCTTCTTCCCCAAGTCACTGGGATCTGCCACATGTGCAGCAAATGCTGCATTCTTCTCTGACACCAATGCGTCAGTCGTCACATTGTTCTCATCAAACCAATCATGCCGCTTACAGTTTGCGCGCCCAATGGTCTCCTCGGCAGCAGCTGTCACCTGGTCGCGAATGTGGTGCCACAGGTCGCCCACTGTGGCTATACAGTCCACATCACCACACAGGCGTGCAGCCATCTCCTTCTCCAGCTCAGTACGTTTCGCCACAGTACCCAGAGAGAGAATGTTAAATTTACGCCGATTCACGGCGGGAGTGCAATACACAGATTTACGAAAATATATGTACAGTTTGGTCCCCACCAACTTGTGATCAGTGCCACACTCAGCTCCACGCAGTACACGTGTCACGCGCACTTCACGCATATCACGCTGACGTACGATGACATAGTCGAGCAGGTGAGCGTGACCACTCCGTGGGTGCGTCCAAGTTGCTATATCACTCGCACTCAGTGCAAACCGAGTGTTCGTGATCGTCAGGCCGTGAGTGGCACACAGTGAGAGCAGCCTGTCACCGTTCGCATTCTCTGAGCCAATGCCATGCGCACCATATATATATATATATATATATATATATATATATGTATATATATATATATATATCTTGGTTTTTTCATTATTCCGACAAATTTGTCGAATACACCGTACTTTAACAAAAACTTTCACAGAATCCATGTCTGAGAAATCGATAGTGACTTGTATGTCCCAGAATACGATTGCTGGTTTTTTGTGGATGTGGCGGTATTCGAGAATTTAAGGCAGCGTGAAGATATGGTCGATGCAACCTCGACCCACATGTACGCCAGGTTTTTCTTCGCTCGACAAACCCTCTCTGGTGGCTGAAAACTCACGAAGCGGTATGGACACACATTCTCTTGACCTATCACATATTTGCAATTTCCCAGTAGTTGGTGTATTCACAACGAGAGACTTTTGTGTAAATCGAGGCCACGACGGATTTACCCCACTAGTTAGGAACCTTTGCTACAGTTCATAACTACTTGAACAGTATATTTGCAAAAGTCTGTTAACAGACATAATGCCATCAGAAACCATGGGATTCAAACGAAGGTACAGAAACAGTAAAATAAAACACAACACAACAATGTCCATGGTTTCTTCAGAGGGCGAGATACTACCCGGTTGCCCAAGCCGAAGTAGGGTGTTGACTTAGGGGACACCACCCCGAGCCTTTGGCTGAATAGCCTGCCCGCAAGGCAGCGGAGCGAATTCAGGGAATCGCGCCCATTGGGAGCCGGTGACTGATTGCTCAGTTCATACGCCTTTTGTTTGTTCCTTTGTCAAACAGGGGCCCAATGCTCCCCATACTTGAACAGTGGAATGATTTCGTTGAAGGCCACCTTCCTTCTATCTTTGATTTAGGCGGTTGGAAGGTTGTCAGAGTCAGGAGGTTTGCAGCGTTTCATGGACTAATTTTTTTCTGATTCTCCGCTGCATTGGCACAACCTGTGATGATGGGCCAGGCATCACATGATGACAGTGGCGATTTCACCGGGGAGTTTGTTCGGTAACTGAGTCGATGAGCAAAGCGCGTAGGTCAATTATCCCTGTACCTTATAACTCACAGCTTGTGTCTCACTAATAGCATGTTATTCACATCCGGTATATTTGATGAAGTAAAACAATCTGCGGCTGTTCCCAGCAGGGGTATCAGCCTCCACTTTCTTGGTTTGTTTAGACCACCATAATTCACGGCGATGGCCGACGGCTTGCTTTCACTTGTTGCTAACTCGACCGGCGGAGTTTATCGTGCTTCACCTCCACAGGTGCAGTTCGTCTACGGTCAAGCAGTTCCAAGGATGTTGTCGAGATCCAAATTTCAGCTGTACAACAAACAATACCGCCACTAGGTAAGCTCTTAGAAAACACAATATGTTGCAAGTGTAGCCAATGCTGCTCAGTGTGCCGAGGAAGTAGAAAAGTGAGATTTTCATGAAGCTACCGTTGATTCTACGGCAGGGTTTACCAGTGGTCAGTTTTCTCTGCCTACTCTTAGGCGAGCCACTGAAACGCGTGCAAACTGTCACACCTGCCAGCGCATGATGAGCTCCGACGCAGCTTCCGTTCTTATAGTGTCCACAAAGTCTCGTATAGTCGTTTTGTATGTCAACTCCATGCCTCTATCTTTTTCCCTTTTACAGTCGCTTTCCTCAATTTTTTATATTATCAACTCCGAACTTTTGGAAAACGTGAAGATTTGCTGATGATTACCTAATCAAATACAATCCATCTGAGTTTAACTGTGAGCATCTGCGCAGCTGCAAGGAGTCACTTCAGGCAAGAGAGCACACAATGGACAGCCGAGCATACTCCACATCCGCTTCCCAGACACCACTTTCTTTACCTACTGTGTCCCCGTGCACCTCTATCCAGTGTGAGGAATCTGAAAGCTGCACTTCTCCGCACATTCATCCCTGGTGGGTTTTATGCCTTTTTCAGCATTTCGCATTTAAACTATACTCTACCATTATCTTTTATTGACTGCTTACCCGTTTAGTCTAACATTGAAACGGAATGCTCCCTTTACTTCGGCTGCATTTACTTCGTATCTGCCATAAAATAGTGGCTTCTGCGGAAAGTTTTTCAGATTGTCTGACTCTTCTCTAACGGCATATGATCTCGTGGCTACAATGTCGATTAGCGGCTTATATATCTTTGATCTTAAATGTCTTCTGTCCTGGTCTTATACATACGTTTATACGGTCCTTGTTTTAGCAAGATCTAAATCATTTATGGGCACAACCATTGTCATCCGTCCCGTCTGCTTGTGTTAAACAACTGATCCAGCCACTGTAGTTCCGTAGCACCAGTTGTCACGACTAAGATCTCCAGCAAAACAATAAACAACGTTGAAGAAGGGAGTGAAATTGAACAATGAAGAACTGGGTGGGAAAGAACAATGGGTAAAGTCGATCCGGATGGAGACACAAAAGCGAGACAACAGAAACAATATGCAGGTATACCATGGGACCTTATAACCTATGCATATTTTTTTAAACATTACTAGGCTGTTCTACTTAGATTTTGAAATCCCCGTACAGGAATGTCAGTTTAATTTTTTTATTCTGTCCTTCTCCCTAGTTCCATTACTCATGATATGTAGGTTAGGCACTGGAAATTTCTTAGAAAATTTATGTTCAGCTTCTACTGCAATCCTTTACTTGCATTTCCGTCTCCTTTGTTTCACTTTCATGACCTTAAAATTTTACGGTCACTGTTATACATCAGATTGGTTATGCTGATTTCATTTGTAGGGTTGATGACAAATGAAAATGAACGCCGCGTAATAAGATTTACGTAATAGCGTTTCAGTGGTATCTCTACATTGCCTCAAATCCTCAGCATCTTGCATACGTGAGCAAACGATTTATTCAAATTCAAATTCGTAAGGTGCAGGAACAATAGGAAAATCCCATGAATGTTCCATTGTGACAGGCTCGTTGCTCCAGCACAGAGTTCAACGAATCCGAATCGCGTGCGTCAAATCGGTACGCGCGTATCACACCATGGTCAACCGATCAATGCACACTAGTAGTCCCCATTGTGCTGGTCACGTGAAATATAAAAAAATTAGAAAAAATTTAAAGAAAGAAAAGAACCCAAATACGGCTGAAGAAGAATGGGGATGAATAAAGTAGTGGAGAGCGGAAACTAAGCAACGGAAATCAAGACGGATAGAGTCGGCTAAAATTTCTGGTAGAGGTTAAGAATTGAAAGGGAACGTTTGCAGCTGCAAACCAAGTGCATCAAGTCGACATTTGAACTCTCTTACAGTGGGCGCCAATACCACCACTTCAGGCAGAGCGTTCCAATTGTCGATTACTGTACTCGATAACCAGTTATCAACTCTATCCCGATCAGATCGAGGCTTGTGAAGCTTCCTTAGGTGACCACGTAGGTTTGGCATTCTAGTTGATACGAAAAATGAGACAAATCCGGACCTATTGCATCCGTCAATATGCGTTATCTGAGGATTAAGTCGATAGTGTAACGAAAAAACTCCTAGACTATGCAACTGCTCTGGGTATAACAAGCGTCTTAACCCACGGAACCACTTTAGTCTTGACACCCAAGACCCGTCCCACTGTCATCCTGTCCCGGATACAGCAAAAAGGACCTGCTTTTACACAGTAATCGGGATGAGGCCTAATGAAGACAGAATACAACCGTGCAAACATTTCACTTGTTAGGTTTTCGAATACTGAATACTGTATTATTGAGCAAATAGAAATGAATTCTGTACAACTCTTTCAAAATGTGGCGAAAAACCTTATAAAAGTTGTCAGCCGTGAATATCGTTGTCGTGCTCATGTAGCACTCAAAAGATCTGACTCACGGTATTGCTGGACTCACAAATGTGAGCTGTCATCGTAAGTGTGCAATTGTTCTCCGTAGCAAATATTAGTAAAATATAGAGCTAACAACGTTTTGAACTGCTGCATAGATGTTGCCTCCATCACATGTTCAGGCAAACTGTTACAAACATTTACCACTCTCCGTTCGAAGCACAGCAGGAGAGGAACTCACTTCACATCCGGCACGACAAGTTTGTATCTGTGTCCGTGTGTGCTGATTAGCCCTCGGAAGTGCAGCATTGGCGTCAGCATGGGGAAGTCATCGAGAAGTAAAATACGATAGGTCATAATGTGGTCGACTCGCACCCGACGGTAGGACAAAGTGTAGAGTCCTAGTCTCTCGCACCGGGATGAGCCTGGTAGCAACGTGTTGGACCCGTTTGATCTTTTGAGCCTTGCCTCAGGTAATCGGATAGTAGGCGAGCGAACCGTACTCTAGCATTGGTCTGATGGAAGAGAAGAGGCGAATGGCAATCTCTTCAGACCATGTGTCGAAGCTACGTTTGAGAGCCGAAAGCATGCGCAGTCCGTTACGTTATAGCCTGTTCGTGTTGTCCACGGACTTCAAATCGTAGCGCGGGAGTACACCTAGGTCCTTCACGGAGGGTGTGGGATATAGCGGTTGACCGTCAAGAGTGTAGGTTCGGCCACCAGCATCCTTCCCTAGGCTCATATATACAGACTTGACTGGATTGACCGGGAGAAGAACTTCTGCAGACTATGTGGATAGGCGGTTGAGGTCATGCTGAAGTAGGCCACAGGCGTTCAGAGCCTCAATTTCTCTCAAAATCTTCATGTCGTCCGCAAATAAGGTACACGGCGATCGGAGAAGCTGAGGTAGATCGTTGATGTGGATCAGAAACAGAGTGGGGCTAGCACAGTGCCTTGAGGCACGCCACTTGTAGAGGGATACCAGTCAGTTAGCTGGTCGTCGACTTGTACCCTCCACTTTCGTCCAACAAGAAAGTCGCGGATCCACCGGTGCAGTAAGCCACCGACACCGCACATCCTGAGTTTGTGAAGGAGAACCTCATGGCTGACCTCGTCGAACGCTTTACTGAAATTGATGAATATCACCTCGACAGACTTCCCTTGCTTATTGCCTTCAACCACTCATGCCTCATCACAAGCAAGTTTGTAATGCATGAGCGGCCTTGCATAAAACCGTGCTGTGCGGACGTCAGGACCTCTTTTAACTGTAGCAACTGCAATAAGCCCGAAAGTGACATGAGAACTAGTGGGTGGGGCCTATCAGGTCCGGCTTTTTTGGTGCCGTCAAAGCTGGCGAATAGTTGACATACTTCTTCAACGCCGCAATCTAGACTATCATTTCGGTAAAAACGATAGACGTCGAACTCGGAACAGGCACCTGGTCATTTTTTTCAAATGCAGAAGCGAAGTGCGCCGCCAACGCGGACGCACGCTAAGTGCTAGAGATTTGGGGCTGTCTGTGTGGGTCGTCCAGCGCTGGCACATCACCTGCCGGCTTCAGAGGTCGCTTCACGTAAGCAGAGGTTCTCTATGGTGTGGTCTTCGTGGCGATTGCGAGCTGCTCTTCGAAATGTCGGCGTTTATTCCTTTTTGCACTGTTGCAGAGGTTTCGCTGACTTTTATACCCTTTTTTATCATTGGCAGAAGCAGAGAGAAGGAATTCGTCCCACAGTCTGCGCCGCCTCCGAGCCAGATTTCCATACTCCTTATCGAACCAATGAGGCTTAATCGGTCCAACCTTCCGACATTTCAAGGGCACAAATTGGGAACACAATGATGTCAATCTCTCTTGTGTAAATGCCTTACGAATCATCCGCAGCATCCTGAAACCCTTACAAGCGGCTGTTGACCAGTGTTCACTGGACTTGCAGTTCGACGAAAGCTTAAAGCCCAAGTCAACCTGCTCGGATACTTGTGGTCTTATGTTCCTACCCAAAAAGTATCTCATGTTCGGCGCACCTGTTCCACTGCGCAAATCTAGACTTGGAGAAATTTATTGGCAGCTTCCATGAGGCAGACCACTCCCATAGCTTATCCGGTGCGCGCTGTAGCACCTGACAGCCGTCCGAGTCATTGTACCTCAGAACGTTAGCACATCTCCAAACAGAAGTGGTGGTACCCCCAGTTCCTCAGGTAAGTCGTTTATGTAGAAAGTGAACAGCAATGGGTCGAGGACAGACCGATGTGGTCCACCGCTGCGTACTGATTGTCTCAAAGATAGGGTCGAACCGTCTCGAACGAACATGCTCTTCTCCTCTAGCAATTCCGTTATCCAACGCCGAGCACGCTTGGTGACGCCATATTCCTGTAGTTTAAACAGAAGACCGAAATATGGGACAGTGTCAAATGCTTTCGTGAAGTCTATGACCAGTACGTCAACCACTTTACCCTGATCTACCGTTTCAACCTAGCATTCGCGAGCATATAACATATTTGTAAGACAGCAGTAGCCTTTGCAAAGGCCGTCTCGTGACAGGCTGAGCAGGCCGAACATCATTAAGTGGGTCTCAACGACATCACATACTAGCTTCTCCAGTAATTTAACTAGCACGCTCGTTAACCTGACCGGCGCGTAGTTTTCAGCTAGGTGCTTATTTCCTTTCTTGAATATGGGGCAATATATAGCTTCCTTTCAAACAATGGGTAAGGAACAGCCGAAAATCACTTTACATAGAGCCGAGTACTTGGTATATACAATCCAGCTGCCAATTCATACAACAATTTGTGGTGAAGTGCATCAACTCCAACCGACTTGCTTGGATTCAGGTACTCTAAAACCGAAGCACCTGGGCTTCCGAAATAAAGCTTTCTTTTTGCAGAGAATCTGCTGTAACTCTCATTTTTAAATCAAGATGTGGTAATGGAGATTCACTAACGAATCTTTTCTCATACCGATCCGCTAACAGACAGTCTTTTGCTTGATCAGTGTGACCAACAGTGCCATCAGAACTAAACCAAAACGGGCAGAATGTAACTGGAGTTACTTCGTCTTTTGATATGAGCAAAGACTCGCTTTGGGTTGGTTGAGACCGAGTTGGCTAACTCCATCTCACAATTTAATCGGACTGCAC